ATAGAGGGAGGTATGGACCCTGGTTCCCCAAGGTTGGGGTGCAGCTCCAGCATTTGGGCTCCTACAAGGAGATGCCTGCCCTGCCCCCACCCCCACCAGCTCAGCTGCAGAGAAAGGACCCACCAGGCCAGCGAGGCGCTCTGAGCCCTGCTGGCCAGAGGGAAGGGCACTGCTGGCAGAAAACAGCTGCTCACCGATGGACCCAGGGCCGCTGGCCTGGGTGGCCCTGCTCCAACCCCTCCAGACACTGGGCCCGAGGGAGGGGCTGAGGAGCTAGAGGTGGAGGCAGAAACAGACACAGGGGTGAAGTGGTCACAGGGGTGGGGCTTGCAGGGGGGGGGGCACTGTGGGGAGGGGCTCGCAAGGCCTGGGAGGTGGCCTGGTGATGCTGTGTGTGGAGTCCCTCTGAGCGGGGACCAGCCTGTCCTGACCTGTCCCGTGGCTTCCCTCTGGAAACCTCTAACTCATTCAACCCCCAGACTGGCAAAGTGGGGGCCGCTCTCAGGAGCACAAAATAAACACATTGGTTAAAGAAACCATGACTGCCACTGCCTGTGTCCCCCTGTAGTCATGAGCTCCTGGCTGAGGCTCTGGGCTGGTCTCTGGGATCCTATGGGCATCTTCTCCATGGCCGTGTTTCTTAAAAAAAAAAAATAGGTGCCTAATAGAATTGGGCCAAAAAAAAAGGCTAAGATGGCCCAGTGAAGGGTGGAAGCCTGTCCATCGCATGCACTGTCTGTAAAGATGTGCTCTGGGAGATGTTACACTTGAGTTCTGTGCTGCTTTCGAAGGTTACGCCATGTGCCTGTGATGTGCACGCATCTCACTCCAGAACTGGCACCCCACTAGTGCATCAGGTGGAATTTGCGGGGCTCCTGGGCATGCTTGGCTGTCATCCTGCACAGGCGAGCCCGAGGGCACCCCGAGCCCAGCCCTGGCGCACCCCACCTTTCTGCTGATCCTCGCGGCCCACCACCCACCTGGTGCCGTTTAGATGCTGGGATGAGGCACTATGTTCTGGTGGCCCCCGTGGCTGTGGGCAGACAGGAAAGTGACCTGTGTGGACTTGAATGGAACCCTCAGCGGGGACTTTCTGGGGGTGCTTTGGGCTGATGTACACCGAGCGCCCGCATGGGAACGTTCAAAGGGAAGTTTCACGGTGACCCTGTGCCTGGATGGAGACCCCTTCCCAAGGCCCCGGCCTGGGGCCCGCCCTTCTAGGAGTGGCCTGGTGGGCTTGCGGGAGAATGCTTCCGGAGCTGGTGTGGGGCTCTGCAGGCATCCTCGTCTCCGGGCTGAGGATTCTCGGGACACGGAGCAGGGACTGTGCGTCAGAAAGGAGTCAAGTAGCATCTTGTCGGGCAAATCTGGGACGTGTGCCTCAAAATAATGACAGTCTTGTGTCGGAGCCCGTGTAGGAAGCACTGGAGCCGTGGACAGCGTTGCACCGCAGAGGCTGACTCAGTAGTGTGAGTGGGGGGAGGCACGTCCCCGACTGGAAACCCTCACAGTCGCCTTTCAAGCAAAAATCAGCAGGGGCGCCTGGGCGGCTCAGCCAGTTAAGTGGCCAACTTCCAACTCAGATCATGATGTCGAGGTTGGTGAGTTCAGGCTCCCAGGTATGCTCTGTGCTGACGGCCTGGACCCTGCTTGGGATCCTGTCTCCCTCTGTCTCTGCCCCTCCCCTGCTTGTGTTCTATCTCTCTCTCAAAAATAAATAAACATTAAAAAAAATTTTAGGAGCGCCTGGGTAGCTCAGTTAGTTAATCATCCGACTTTGGCTCAGGTCATGATCCCACCAGCCTCGCGTTGGGCTCTGTACTGACAGCTCGGAGCCTGAACCTGCTTTGGATTCTCGGTCTCCCTCTCTTTCTGACCCTCCCCCGTGCACGCTCTCTCTCTCTCAAATAAATAAACATTAAAAAAATTTTTAAGAAAAAAATGTTTAAGTCACCAGTGAGTGAGGGTTTTGGAAGAAACAGGGTATTTACACACTCTCAAAACCTCTTTTCACAATACACTTTTTAAAAACGACAAATTAAAAATCGATTTTGTCTTTATTAAGAAAACAACCCCAATTTAAAAATCACTCCCAAACGTGACCGTCATTCATATCCTCATTCATATCGCGCCACCTTTGCGTCCAGTGTCACCCCAGCGGTGAGGCAGGTGCGGGCAGGTCCGTCCTGCAGGTGAGCAAGCTGACGCTCAGAGGCCTGGGAGTGAGCGGCTTGGAGCCAAGCACGGCCGAGTCCTCACAGGGCTGGGTCTACACGTGGGTACCACAGAAGTGGAGGGCGCATCTGAGTCCCTCAAGAAATGGATGGGGGGCGTGCGGGGTCCCGGAGCCCCCTGAGCAGCGGCCATCATCCCTTGGCTGGGTGGAGTCTGAAGCGAGCCGAGAGGGGGCCCCCAGTCTGCCCCTGGGGCCTGGCAGCTCGGAGCAGGCACAGCCGACATCCGTCTCCTAGACCTCCGGATCGGAGGGTTGCTCCTTCTCAGGAAACGAACGCCGTCTCCTCCGTAGCCACCGTGGTGACGTCCGGCGGGGCCTGGATGGACACAGCACGCCCTTCCATGTCCAGATGGGGACTGCACTGGGCCCGGCCTGTGGGCCACGCGGCAGTCGGGGTCACCTGGCTTTCTAAGACGAGGCGTCGGCTCGGCCTTACGCTGAGGATCCGGCCCCTCGGAGAAATGGAGCCCCACCCCCCCCAGCAGCACGGCCTCCAGGGTTGGAGGGGGAGGGGACGATGTGTAATACCTGTAAGGGTCTTTCCTTGGTGGCTTCGCCTGCAAGACAGAGACCCTGTGTCACGTGGGACCCTCTCAGCACTGCGGGTTGGGAGGACCCGAGCTCCCGACTTCTCTCTGTGTGAGAGGACTTCTCTTCCCTGAGAGAGGACCCTCTGGAAAACTGGCCAGACCCGTGTGGATTTGTCCACCAGGGGGCCCCAGGCACGTGCCAACAGGAGGACAACTCCTGCCCGAGTCTCCAGCTACCAAACCCTGGCCCTGGCCCACCCCAATGCGATGGTCACCCCAGGAAAGGGGGTGGACGCAGGGGAGGGTCCCTCAGGGAACGGGTGCCCCAGGGTCGGGTGAAACAACATTGGCCCACTCAGAGCCCGGGACCCCGAGACCTGCCTGCAACCTGGGGGCCCTCGGGTGAGGCCCCAGCACGGACTAACTGACAGCAGCCCGAGAAGGCGGCTCACCTCCCCCCTGGGGCTCTGCTGAGGGCCTGCTCCCTGCTGGGAGCCCAGAGCCGGGTCTGCGGAGCCAGGGCCTGGCCCCGGATGCGGAGCTCACAGCAGGGCAGACAAGCGGACAGGGACCGAGTGAGTGAGGGGGGACACGTGGCCTCTTGAGGGGACTCAGCCCTGCCCACGGCTGACCCTCCAACCCATGCTTCCGCCATCCGTCTTCGGCCTGCCCTGTGGCTCCTCTGCCCCACGGGGCAGACAGGGACTCGGAGCCCAGGGTGGTGAGCGGGCAAGAGGTGGGGCCGGCAGGGGATCCTGGAACAGGGGGGCCCGCCCTGCTGGCCCTCCAAGCCCCCCAAGATCCCATGACATCAGGAGTCGAACTCACATCCCTGAGCCGACAGCAGCCCCCCTCACGCCCCCGCTCCCGCCTAGGGGAGAAGCTCCTGCAGGCGCCTCCCTCCACTCGCGGAAAGGTGGGGAGGGGCTTGCAGATGCACCTGCCGGGCCCTGAGCCTTGATGAGACCACGCCCCATTGCTCACCGGGTGACCGTCTGTTTTTCATCCTTTTCATCCGTATCCAGGTGACCGCGACTGGGACTATTATGCCAACCAGCAGAAGCATGGGAATGATTATGGTCAGAGGAGAAGGAGAGTGCGAGGCGGAGCACGTGACATCGGAGCTGCTGGTCCCGGGGTTTACAAGGCTCTGGAAAGAGCTATTGCACCTGGGAGAGAGCAGTGTGGGGGCCTGATGCTCACTCGGGCCCGGGGTGGGGGGTCCCCGAGGCGCCGCCCCGTGACAAGGTGCTCTGGCGGCTCTGGGTGTGAACTCAGGTCCCTCTGCCTTCCCAGGCCGCACTGCTATGGGGAGACAGGCTGGGGGACAGGGACGGGGAGAGGACAGTGACTGCAGGGGAGGCAGCAGGACGGCAGGGTGGCACCGGCCAGCAGCACACGTGGTCCCCCCAGCCCCCCCCAGGGACACTCCGAGTGCCCGGGTTAGCGCCGGGCTTCAGGGATGGCTGCAGGAGTGGGGCCCTCACGCTGAGAACCCCCCTGACTCCACATTCGCTGGGAGGCCCCCACAGCCCTGATAGCTGGGGACACCCCAGGACCACAGGGGACTGGGAATCTGGCGGCAGCAGCCCCCCCAGACCAGCCCCAGGGAAGAAGGTCCACCCGTGGCATCCGGGAAGCTCATGTCCACGGGCTTTCAGTTCTCGGCTAATGTGATGGGGGGTGTGAGCCCCAGAGTCCCAGCAGGGGCTGTCCTGGGGGCTGGAGCGTGATGGGGAACAGTGGGGGGGGGGCTTATCTGCCAGGAGAGCACAGACGAGCCCCTCTCGGGGACACGGGGCTGAGACCACCCCAAGGTCACCTACTTGGTCCAGGGCTGGCACTGCTCCAGGGCCCCGTTGGGCGAGAAGGTCCCCGGAGGGCAGTCCTCACACACTGTGTCCTGCCACTGAGTGCCTGAGAAACGACAGGCCGGGCAGGGAGGGTGCAGGGGCTGGACCCAGGGGCTCAGCCGGGCTTCCCCGCCACGGGCTTGGGTCTGGGGGCTGCCTCTGAGAGGGTTCTGTCTCCTAGAGGGTCGGGAGGCTGGCTCCCCACCGTAGGCTGCTCACCTCTCTCCCGCACCCTCTGGCCGGGTCTGCAGGCCGTGTGGGGACGGCACTCCGCACAGTCACCCCTCGACTCGCTGACGCAGAAGTGGCCCTGGCCACAGATGCACGCGGTGTTGTTTTTTGTGGAGCACTTCTGCCTGGTCACCAGGCCCATGGCTGGGACCCAAGAGAGGAGCGAAGAGCAGCTGCGGTGGGCAGTGCTGAGCGCCCCGTCCCGGGAGGAGCCCCCGTCCCGGGAGGAGGCCTGGACAGCACAGCAGGCCTGAGGGCTCTGCCTGGGGACGGGTCGGTGCCAGGCGCCCCCAGCCCGGCTGTGCAGCCTGCTGCATGTGGGCCCCGCTCAGCCCAAACCCAGCACCAACCGGGGCACCGGCCTGGCCTGGTGGTGAAGCAGAGATTGGTCCCTGCGAGGCCCACACAGGAAGTAGGAACCACAGTCAGCCGTGGGGCAGCCCCAGGGGGCAGGCCCCAGCCCGACCCACACACACCTGAAGACCCCGCCCCTCAGGCAGTCAATCAGGCTAGTCAGATGGCAGCACCCTCCCGCCGCTGGCACTGGGGGTGGGGTAGCGCTGGGCCCCTGAGCCCCCACTGAGGGGCAGCCCCGTGGGCCGTCTGCACCCCAACCTCAGCCTGATAAGACAGGGGTCTGTGGGTGAGCCCAAGGCTCGCAGCCCCTGACCCCACCTGGCTGGACCCGAATGCATTCCAGCCTCCCGGAATTTCCTCCCAGAGTCCCTCCACCCCAGACCACCCGGCAGGAAGAAGGTGAGGGTCGGAGCGCTGAGCCATGAGTAGGGGTCCCCAGAGGTGTGGTGTGGAGGCTGGGGGGGTCCCCAGAACCTGCATACTGCGGGTGAACGAGGTCCAGCCCCTCAGGACCAGTGAGCTGGGGAAGCAGTCCGGGACCCGTGGCTCCGTCAGGGCTGGCCCCAGGCACCGGTGTCCATATGACCGACGGGGTCCCTGAGTTCTGGAAGGCCCGACTAACGGGGTTACAAAGGCACTGGCCCCGCTCTGGGAAGGGACAGGTGTGGACAGGCCCAAGGCTCCCTGAAGGATTCGCCTGCAAGCGTCTGCCCCGGAGGCGGGGTGGGCCTGGCCCAGCGCCTGGTCCTGGGCATGTGGGCACGCCCCCCACAGCAGGATATGGGAGGCAGGTTGGGGCCAGTGTTCTCACCTGGGTCACACACGCGGCACTGCAGACACTCACTCAGGCCATTGAAGTGGGCAGTGTAGGTCCCCGGGTCACAGGGAACACACAGCGTGCCGGTCACCTCCCCGCAAGCCTCCTTTACCCGGAAACCTGCACCCAGAGCCCCGTGTCACTCTGGCCTGGGGAGGGCCCTGCGGGGGCGCACCCGTCCTGACACCTGGAAGCCCCCAGCAGGTGTGACCTCACCCCAAGAACCGAAGGGCACCTGAGCTGCTTCCCATGCCACACAGGGTGCCCTGCTGCCTCTCACCAGTGAGCCTGCTCTGGGGGAGTGGGAACGTTCTGGAAGGAGGTGGGGGCCTCCTGGTGCGTGTGGGCATGACTGCCCTAGTGCTGGCTCTGGGCCCCAGCTCCTGGCCTTGAATGGAATGACTGGGTCCCCCAGGCCACATCCCTGGGCAGCGTGGCTGGGAGGGTCTGGGGGCAGGCAGAGTCGAAGAGGGGCTGAGGGGGCGCCCCCGCCCCTGCCTGTGCCCCTGCCCCCAGGCCTGCACGTACCTGGGCCGCACTTTGGGCAGCACTCGGCCCCTACCGGATACTCCTCCTCTTTGCACTGAGCCACAGCCAGGGAGCAGCGCAGGGGCCCCAGGAGGAGGAGGTACAGGGTCTGTGGAGACAGGGCACGGCTGGGGCAGGGGGCGGGGCTGCCAGAGCTCCCCCCTGTGAAACGTGGGGGCGCAGCCCTTGGGGAACCGCAGGGACCGCCCTGAGCAGTCACAGGCCCCGCGGGGGAGGCAGGCGGCTCCGGCCGGAGGTGAGGGTGAGAAGGGGGGGGGGGCTGGTCCCGGGGCTGACTCCACCCACAGTCTCGGCGGGGGGTGGGGGTGGGGTTGCTCCTGGCCGGCAGCCAGCCCGGTGGAGTCCCGGATCCCGCCCTCTCTGCACAAACAAGGACTTTGTCAAGAGGCACCAGACTGCGGGCCTTGGGTGGGGAGGGTTCTGGTTGCTGGAATCCTGCTTTCTGGGAGCAGCGCCCTCCAGTGGGGGGGGGGGGGCTGGCCCTCCCGCCAAGGAGAGGGAAGGGGGGAAGGAGGACGGAGAGGAACATGCCGCTGCTGGGGGTACGGCTTCCTGCCAATCTGCTCCAGAAACCTGTGGTCGCAGAGGGCTGGGTGCCGGGGGTCTGAGTCAGCCCAAGAGCGAGGGCAGCTGGGAAGTGGCTTCGGGCCAGGGCAGGTGGAGGGAGAGGACTGGGAAACGCCCGCGCGAGCACACACGCACACGCACACACACACACAGGCTCAGAGGACTCACCAGGCTCATGTCATCAGCCTCGGGTGCCGGGGTCCAGGGGGGCGGCCCCCAGCCTCAGAGAGGCTCCATGTTCCCCCTCAGGACCCCTCATTCCCCAGCTGCCAGCTCGGCCCAGGACCCCGGACAGCAGATCCGACTTGCACTCACGCACTCTGGCGGAACCAGCCGTTTCGAAAGTAAAAGAGTCTTGTTTCTGTGGGCCAATGAGGAGGCAGCGTATATCATGAAAGTTTCCTCACAACGGCCCCTGGCCCAGTGGCCAGGCTGGAGTGGGGTGCAGGAGACAGGAGGCGGCTAAGCAGGGTGACGAGGTTTTTGGGGTGACAGTGGGGGTTGCAGGGTCCAGAGGTGACCACCAACAAAGTGCAAAAAGGCAATTTTATTAAAGCGCAGGGGCAAGACCATGAGGAGACATTGGTTAAATACTATGGGGTTGGGGGAGGTAGAGTTCGGGGGAAGTTTCCAGCGAGACTGTCATATGCTGAAGAGTCCCAGGGTCCTGGCTGTGGTCGAGCTAAGGTGGTTTTCCCTCTAGCAAAGCCTGAGCAGTAAGACAGTAGGGAGTTCCTGGAGAAGCATTTTCCTCTGCGACCTTGACTTGGTCCCAGCAGCAGGCCCGGGAGGCTGTCCTTTAAGGTCATGATCTCACCTTTCCCGAGTTCCAGAGTTCAAGCCCTGCTCTGTGCTGACAGCTCGGAGCCTGGAGCTGCTTCCGATTCTGTGTCTCCCTCTCTCCCTGCCCCTCCCCTGCTCTGTCTGTCTCTCAAAAATAAATCAACATTAAAAAAAATATAAAGAATTTGTCCATGGGCTTCAGGTTACAAGGAAATTTAGTTCTGCCCTTTCCTTCTGCCTTTGTCCCCACACCTGGGGGCGGTGGAGACTCAGGTCCCAAAGGACTGTAAGCTCTCAGTTAACCCTTTGTTGGCCCCTTTGATGGGCACCAGGAGTGGAGGGGAATATCGCACACGTCCCACCTGGGGGGGGTTCGGCCTGTCAGCTTGCCTCGTGCTCCCTCATCAAGAGCAGAAGTGCAGGGAGGCGGGGGGGGGGGGGGGGGTGTGTAAAGGCAGGGGGCGGAGCCTTGGTGCAACTCCTCCTGCACACTCCTTGCACCCTAAGTCCTGGACTCCCATCCCCCCATCCCCCCCCACCCTCCAGGCCCATTAGCGCCTCCCTGGAGTTTCCTCCTCCAGGGGTGGGCGCCCTCCCCCACAACGCCCACCAGCCCAGGGAGCTGGCACGCCCCTTCCCTGCAGCAGCAGCACCGAGGCCACAGGTTTTCTGTTCCGTGTCTCAGCTTCTGCTGAAGCAGGGTGACCGTCCCCTCCAAAGGAGCCCCATCTCCCACGCAGTGCCCTGCAGGCCACAGCCCCTCCTCGGCCTGGGGCGGGGGTGGCGGGCTTCCACGTGCGTTTTCCTGAGCACAGCTCTGCGGCAGGGTCTCTCCCCAGAGCGCGGGAGCCTGGGGGTGGGGGAGCCCCCTGAGTCCCCCGTGAGGGTGAGAGAGGCACCCTTTGCTTCCCCTGAGCCCACGCACTGTGTCCGCACCCCGCCTGTCCCTGGGGCAGGGCCGGGCTGGTTAATTCTTGCTTCCATTTCACAGGGGGATAAATGGGCTCAAAAAGCAACCGGTCTGGCCCAGGGTCTATTGGCTTTCTGGTTTTTTTTTTTAATATTAAAAAACAATTCTTTAATGTTTATTTATTATTGAGAGAGAGGGACAGTGTGAGCAGAGGAGAGGCAGAAAGAGGGAGACACAGAATCTGAAGCAGCTCCAGGCTCTGAGCTGGCTGTCAGCACAGGGCCCAACGCGGGGCTCGAACCCATGCACCGTGAGATCATGACCTGAGCCGAAGTCGGGCGTTCAACCGACTGAGCCACCCAGGCGCCCCAGGCCCAGGGTCTCTTGGGTGCACGCTGTGCTTGGACCCGAACCCCAGCTTTCCCGTCCAGAGAGGCTCCCCCCGCAGGCTTCCCAGGATCGCGCTGCCCCTGGAGCTGGTGGGTGAGTGGACAGCCTAGGGGTGGGGGTCCGCTGCAGGCCCGGTGCGCTAAGAGGCCGGCTGGGGGCTGGTGAGAGGCGCCCGGTGGTTGGCCCCCACCCCACCCCTGCTGGTGCCTCCAGTGGGAAGTGTCCTGGGGAGTCTCCCTGGGGCCCCTGGCTCCCACGTCGCGTTTCAGCCCGTAGCCCTGTGACTAGCACCACCCTCTGACGTCCTCATCTGCGAGGCTGCAAATCAGTGAGACGTGGCTGGAGCCATCCCGGCCCCGATGCGCGCCGCCAGCCCCACGCGCCCCGGGCAGATCCCTGTCAGACGCCGAGGTGGAGCCCTCGGCAGACCCGGGAACTGAGCTGATTGCTGGTCACCCAGCCCAGGCTGACCTTGGCACCGATGTCCCTGGGGTCACTACCCATTCCATTTCCCAGGGGACGCTGAGGAGGACAGTCTAGGGACCGGGGAGGGAAGTGTAGGGGTGAAGTCCCGGGGACGGGGTGGCGGCCGACCGCTGTCCTGTTGTCGAAAGGCTCCCAGCGCTCAGAAGCAGGGTTCACGTCTGATCACCATCCCCTGGGATGGCCAGCCAGCCTCCAAGGGGGGGACGAGGGTGTCAGGTGGGACCCGGGGGTCGGGGGGTCCCCACGAGGCCCCCGTGAGCACAGGCTCGGCTCCCAGCCCTGAGGGCCCGTCAGAGGGACCCCCACCTGGACAGTCACCACGTCTTCCGCTGACTGTCATGGGGAGCACACCAAGACCGCTCTCCTGGGCCTTTCTTCTGCGTTCCAACTCCGTCGTGGATATCATCTTACAAAGAAGTCACCGAACAGATGAAGTCACATGTTGATGTGCGGCCACGGGTGACGTTTTAACAGACGCCCCCAGCCTGAGATGTGCCTGATCCCTGACTGGTCCACCCTTCGGGCCGCACTTACTTACAGGGCAGCTCTGTGGCCCGTGTGTGGCCGGCCGGCCGGGGCCATTGTTGGGGACGTTCCATTGGCTCTGTGGCCCGGGAGCCATCGAGGCTGAGGGACTGAGCTTTGCAGACGTCCCCACCCTCGGGCGACAGATGGTGACAGAACAGCGCTCTGGGAGCTGGGAGGGGAGGGCTGAGCGCCGTGTCCCCATGGGAGCAGATCACATTAACGGGGTGCCCCATGCCAGCCGAGGCTCGTGGCTCCAAAGGTGTGGAAACAGAGCGGTTAGGCGGCCTGTCCAGGGCCCCTCGGACACGGCTCGTGTGAGGCAGCGCCGTGCTCGAACCACCAGCCTGACTCCGTGTTGCGCCTGCAGGTCCCCCAGCCACTGCGGCCACGGAGCCGGGCGGTGGGCGCGGCAGGGTCCGCGAGACGCCCGTCCTGCGTGCGCTGGGCTGGAGTGAGCAAGGACGACCCTGGAGACAGTCTGGACCAGGCCACTCCTTGCTCAGAGAGGCCAGGGGACGCGGCTGACGCTCCCGGGGCTGGCCGGCTCCCCCCGCGCGCCCACGCCGACCCGACGCCCGCCGGGAGGGGAGAGTCCACGTGCGCAGAGTCCTGGAGCCAGGCGTGCAGGAAGACGTGGTCCTGTGTGACTCTGACCTTGGACACTGCCTGTGCGGGAGACCCGGGCTCTGCCACGGGCGCGCTGGCCCCCACCCATTTGGTTGCTCGGGAGAAGCCCCAGGCCTTGTCAATTAAGCCCGGGCACCGGGCGGCCGGCTGCTTTCTCCTTGTCCCTCAGCCGGCCGGCCGCCCCCCTGCTCTGCGGGGCAGGGGGAGTTTCCCTGAGGCCCCACCGCACCCGGAGCACTGGAGGGAGATGCAGAGGTCGCAGGAGAGGGGCCCTTGACCTCAGGCTCCTTCTTCCGGGGGTGTCTCTGGAATTGGGTGCCTCCCCGTGGGACGCCGTTCCTCACAGAGCCAGCCATGGCCTCTGGGCCTGCTCCCCGGGTCCTGGCGCTGTAGGTGGGGCTCCCCCAGGGGGCAGGGTGCCCTGCGTGTCCTCCCTGTGCACGGCCTCCTCCTCTTCCACTCTTCCTGCCTTCAGCGCCTGCGACGAACGCTCTCTTTCTGCAATGGTGGCAGCCTAAAGGGTCAGCCACCCCGGGCTGATCACGGTCCCCCAGGACAACTGGCCCCGCCCCTGGACACCAGTGACCTGAGGCCGCCTGGGGGCTTGGGAGGCCCTGGGAGACACCCACCGGCACAGGCTGTGTCCCCACACCGGAAGCCTACAAGAGGGTACCCCCGTGTTGCTATTTATGTGTGCACGTACACTCCCCTGCGTACAGGCCATCTGGGGGTTTCCAACAAAGGGGAAGGGACACCCTCTCTGCACCCTCCACTCAGCCCTCATTGGCATCAGGAATGTTCTAGAATGTTCTAGGAACCCCGGCAGCACACAGGTGCCTCAGAGCACACTCAAGGCAGGGTCTGCTGACACCCCCTCTGCCTCCTGTCACACCCCCGCTGACCCTCCACCTCCTGCCGTGCTCCTCTGGATAGGGGTGGCTAAGGGTCCCATTGGCCGGGACTGGCCGGCAGCTGCTAACGCCCTCGTGGTCACTACCTAATTCCATTTCTAAGGGACCGTGGGGTGGAGATCCTGGGCACCAGGGGAAGGATCAGGGCAGGGGCCCCTGCTTCATCGAGGAGGTGAGACAGAAGGAGGGCCCTCTGCTCCCCCCCCGTTGCTGGGTGTGACTCCCCTTCCTCAGTGCTAGGTCCCCAGGAATCAGCATGTCTGAGGCTCCCTGTCGCCCCCCCACCCCATCTTTCCAGGGGGTGAGGTGGAGCCCACACCCCAGGGCCTCTCTTCCCATGGGCCCCTGGGCCCTGGGACCCCTGCCCTCTCCCAGCTGTTCCCAGAGACCCACGGGGCTCATGCCGGGGCCTCACCCCGAGGGCCCCGTGCGGGCCAGTCCCTCTGTTCTCTCTGCATCGCTCTGACCTCCGGGTCAGGACACTGCACAGGAGCGCTGGGAATCCCCCAATCATATTTCCCCTTTCTTCTTGAGACAGAGATCTCCAGGTTCCTGAGGGGTAGGAGAGAGGTGGTATGAACCCCAGTGCTTGAGCCAGACTTGGGAGAGTGGGAAGTGGGGGTACCCTGAGGCCCCATTACAGAAGCTCCCCCATCTCACCCCTGCTTTCAGGCTAGCCTCAGCTCGCCCTGCTCTGTG